ATTAATTATATATTGAATAATTACAAAATATATTTATTTAATATATAGTAAATTAGATTAATTAAAATATCAAAGTAATTTTATTTTTATTTTAAAAAATTTCTATCATCATCATTGTTGATGGAATGTGTCCTCCTCATTTGATACTGGTGCCTAGTACTATGCCTGACCAAGGTTAAGACTTAGTTACTTGAAAGAATTGTTATTTGTTTATATGCTGTTGATGTATGTATCTGTATTTATACAATTTCCTCACTATATGGCATGTGTTTGATATGGCTGCTTTCTATAATTAATGTATATGCTTTTAAGGCTAATTTTTCTAGACCTTTTTAAAATTTATATGGAATGATACTGTGCAAGAGATGATCACTGGCTCAATAAGTATCTGTTAATTCTCCATGGATTATTCTGTATTATTTTGTAAAGATGAGTTCTGAATATTTGGTAATTTTTTTATATTAATGTGACAGTTTGTAACTAGATAAATATAAGATACTGCAAAAGAAACCTTTAAATGCAGCAAAAATTTATTCTATTACAAAGCTAATGTTTTCAGGCATGATTTAAATGGTTATATTCAGGCTTCTAATAGAGACACCAAAGTTCTGAATCAGAACAAAACACTCAAAATTACAATATATTCTAAACATTGATGGAATACTTAAGCTATCAGTTAAAATTTAAATTATTTGTTGAAACAGTCCATACCATGCTTTTAAATGACTTTAGAATTACTGTTTAAGCTAAATTTACAAGTTGAATACCATTTGAAATATAATAGTTAGGTGAACTATCTTGTGACATATCAAAAAAGAATTTTTACAATAACAAAACAAAAGCAAACAAAAAAATTTTTTTTTTCATTCTATATGAAAGCATGTGTGTGTTCTTCAATATTCTGGGTTTTCTTTGGATATGTTGTTTGTGATGCATGAAGGCACATGATTGGTCTGTATTGTATAGGTCTTTATTGTTGTCATATTTTAGTTTCATATATGTGATGTCCCATGTAGGAAATTTTAGCATGCTTTGTGGATTGTTGATTGCATATGTAAAATATTTGGCTAGTTTCCAGTGCAGGAATGTATTTTTTTTTTATCAGAAATTGTAAATGTTTTCTCATCAAGTGTCTTACAACTTTGTATTCATTTTTATCATTATTGTTATTATTATTAATTGCCAAAAATGTTTTTAATAGGTACGTCTTATTATGAAAGCCCATGCATTTGTTAGAGAAAATGTTCCAAGAGCAATAAAATTTAAATTTCATCAAGGTCAGTTAATTTTTAAAAATTAGTATAATGATAAATAGCTTTTAATTTTTTTATATAGCTTTATGCAGTCAATAAAAATAAAATGAGTGCATTATTTTTGTTATTTTTGTACATTACTTTGAATTTTAAAATAGTGAAGATTATTACTGAGTTGACAGTAATAATCTTTGCTATTTTATAAGGAATAAACACATCAATCAAAAACCCGATATCTTAAGCAAATACACCTACAACTGCCATAAATGATCAGGCTATATTTTAAATATGTAATTATAGATTAAAAATGAATTTGGCACTAGAGTGAGGCATTAGACGCTATCTCTTATTAAATTATCTCTTATTATTATAGGTGCCATCTCTTACCTCTACTGTCAGATTCATTTCTAATCTATAATTATATATCCAAAATATAACCCAATCATTTACAGCAGTTGTAGGTGTACTTGCTTAAGATATTGGGTTTTTGATTGATATGTATATTTATATATTATACCTTTCCGTGGTTGTGATGGCCGACTGAGTGCCTTGTGTGAATGTTTCTGGCTGAGGGTGCAAGTATGTCTCCAGTCAGCACCGTAATAACCAACAATAGTTATTTCTTAACTTATATATGCTGGAAGAGAAGATCGGATGGAAGTCTGGGTAGCGTAACTGGCAATGCATCCGCATGGTAAGCGGGAGTTGCGGGACTCGACACATCAGGCTGATTCTTTTCTTCCAGTTTAATCTAAATTAATTAATAAAATATTATAATTATTAATTTTAATAAGAGATGGTGCCTAACACCTCACTCTACTGCCAAATTCATTTCTAATCTATAATTATATATATTAATACCCCGACTTATGCGAACCCGGAGTTACACGATTTTCAAATCTTGTCGATTTGTCTTTTGTTTAAGTGCCACGCAACCCTTGATTACTCACTTCCCCCACACTATTGTTCAGCTTACATGTTTGGATGTGTCGTGCGGAATCCACACATAGCTACAATTTATTTTGTGTTATTTATTTCTGTGTTTGTTATATCTATGGAAACTTGAGAGACTCTACTATGTCATCCAAACGAAGTAGAACTAATTCTTCTGCATCAAACAAGAAAAGAAAAACTTTATCTTTGGAATGTAAAGTTAACATTGGGTATGTTCGTAAATTCGAACGAGTTAAACGAGAATGATGTCATTGTTATTCCTATTTCGTTAGACTTTTCGAACGATTCATTACTAACGTGTTTAACTCGTTTGACTTTACGAACGTACCCATTATTAAAGACTTTGATACAAAAATGAAAATTTGTGAATTGGCAAAGAAGTTTGATCTACCGGA